TTAAATCATGCTAATGTACTTAGGGGTATTATGTCAATCGGTTTGACAGGACATTGATTTTTGCTAAGATTAGATCTGACACACAGTGTGATGAATTCTTTGTAACAGTGCATTTCATTGCAGTTGCATTAGGCTGGGATGGATGAGAAATTAAGATTTTTTTTTCAAGAAAGCTTTCAACCAGACTTCCCCCCCCCCCCAGTCTAAATGTGATTCTGATAAACTCAGCTTCTGAAGAGCTCAGTCTTCAAAAAAATAATTATAAAAATATGTAAATTAAAAAGTCACCATTGTAATTTCTGCCCTTTCTTTAGGCAATTTCATGAAGATCAGTCATGCAATTGTATGTCTCATCTTCTCATCTCTAGTAGGGATCCTGCTAAGTCACCTTTCAGGAACACTGGTGCATTCATGGAGGTAGATTTCCATTTTTCCCTTGGCTTTTTTTTTTTTAACACTTCCTCATGACATTTATTGATGAGTATCAGTTGTTGTGAGAAAAGAAGAACGGTAAAGGGTCAGTTGTGGAATGTTACCCTCTGAATCCTATTTTTTTAGATAAAACCAGTGGAGCTCTAAAGGGCTTTGAATTTTATTTTCCTGAAAGGCGACTTAGCAGTATCACCTTAGAAGATAGCCATAGAAGTCATTTCTATTCTGTGAGTCATTTTGCATGATTGCTAGGGTCTCGTGATCCAAAGTGTCCATTTTGCATTTCTGCCTCTGGTCCACTCTCTTAGAGATCTTATTTATCGTCTGGAGGTTGCGTGTCTTTGTTGGCTATATGTCCTTTATTATATGAATAGAGACTATATTATATAAGAAGGTGGCCACTTTCCTTCCTAGTTTCATGAAGTACAGCAACAATTTAAATTGTATCTGATATGTGTATGTGAGTCAATCCAAACTATATTCAGAAGCCAGATTCAATGACTATTAATAATTAGTCTATGGTTGTTACTTATTATACTAGAAATGTTTTGATTCAATTTAGCTTTTCATTTTGCGACAGAGGTGACTTTTAAAATTTGAAATTCTGAAACATTTAATGTAACATAATATTCTATTTATTGTTGTATTCTTTCTTACTTTCTGTTATTATCTTTGGTAATACTTAGAAGATGACATTATATCAAATTATAAATATTCATTGGGTGATTGGAAACTAAACCTGAATTAATGTGAATTCTTCCCAACTTCCCTAGATGGCCAAGCTTTGGCCCATAGAGCCGTTATCCTAAAATATGTAGCTGAGAGGCATTAAACTGAAAAAAAAAATTGTATTTGAGAGACATTGAATTGAAAAAATACATCATATCGGTTGCAGAAATTTTCATTCTTTGGTAGAGAATTTCCTTATAACTGACTAGCTTTCTTTCTTTTTAAACATAGAATTGAAATGTTATGATGAACACATAAAATAAAGGTTTATATCTTGCCACTGATCCTTCTCTATGTGCCATATAAAGTTTTTGTTTGTTTTTTGCTCCTTCCTCTGGCCAAATATCCACCTCTGGTTTGCGTTACACAAACTTGCAAGCCCCTCACCCTCTTGACCAAGATGGGCGACTGCAAAGATGCTCTCAGCATTACACAGGAAGGCTTTCAATTTTCTTGGTAGCCAAGCCCAGGTTTCCTGTCACAGCCCAGGGGTTACAGTCTGGATGAACACCGAGCTAGGTATGCTTGACATAAAGATCATAACATTACTCCCTTCCTTCTTACCTCTGTCACCTCTTCCAAGCACCCAGACAGCCAGAAGTGCATGAAGCAAATAAACAATCATATAAAAATACAGAAAAAGAGATGGGCATCTTTGTGTACCCACTTATTTTCCTAGCATTTTTGTGTTTTCTGGCTGTCCAACATATTAAGTTGGCATTTGCGTCTAACTCCCAATGGCTGTCATGCATGTCAGTGGCTCATTTGTGAGGATCCTAGGAAAATGGAGAACGATCCAACACTCTAATAGGAGTAACAGTAATGATAGACAACACTTGGCCTGTACCTGGCCCTTTACAGATTTTCACCTGTTTACCAGGGATGAACTGCAGCACAGTCATACAGATAGTGGCAGTGGCAGCATCCCGCCCCAGGCTGAGCACTCTTGAATCTCTGCTCTTAGCCACCACTATCCATCATTGCTGGGTGCCTTCCAGTCCCCAGATGTGCTGAGATACCACAGTAAGCAGTATCTGCTGCTCTACTCCCCGCTACCTGTCCTGCCAAGTTATTGTGGGGAGGAGGTGGAACTGTCTTTCAGAGAAAATTGGAAGATTTTCTTTTTAATCTCAAAAAAAAAAAGAGAGAGAAAGAAAAGAAAATTACCTGCCTAAATATAGCCCAGCCCCCAAGAAATCTGCAGCTTAGAGAGGGTAAATGACATGCCAAGATTCCACTAAAATGATGAAACCAAGACTGTAACCTAATACTCATGACTGACATGACTTATAAATAATAATGTAATAGGAAGTCAATATTTGGTTGAAATTCTAACTAAGCTTTTATTTGTTTTGCATGAACACTGCCTAAAAATTATTGATATTGTTTTTTAACAGAGCAGATATTGGTGGGTAAATGATTTAGCCACATTTTTAGTAAAGGTGGAATAGTATTCAATTGGAAGTTGTCCTTAAATTAAAGGGAAATGAGTGTTTTGTGCAAAAATGTTATTGGATCAATGAAGGCATATTGTTTATTCCCCTTACCTTACAAAGCCTAGCAGTCTCTATCTTGATGTAGACACCTGAACCCTATTCCCCAGAAAGGTGTGGAACATGTATGGAAAATAGATTATTCAGAGACAGGAAAGTTTTAGTTGAAGGGATATTTTATTTTAGTTATTTTTTGTTTCAAATTTACTTGAGCTGAAATTTATTCACAATTGAAACTAAATATGAGGTATTTTTTTGTTTAGTGTGTTTTTCTTGGTTTTATTATTTTTCTCCCCTTTCATGGTTTTTATTTATGTATTTTAATGATATACATTTGTCCAGAGATTTTGGCAGCAAGTACATGTTTAAAAGCAAAAAAAAAAAATAGTTGTGCAGTAATCTCCATCTTTCTGAAAAACTTATTCTACAGTAACACCCTCAGAATTCTCATTTTACTGAATGCAGAAATAATTTATACACAGCAGCATAATATTTTTACACTGCAAATC